CTGCTGACAAACTTGTGACCAGCTAGAATGGCAGCTAATTCATCCCATTTCCTCTGATTCTCACTTTACTCCAAATGGATCCCTACTCTTGTAAAGCAAAGCAAGCATTTGGAATTTTTGAAAACACAGTCCCAGTCCCAGCCAGAATGGAGATATGCTCCAAAATTTGAAAAAGCCATATTAAAGTGAGGATTCTGAAAAGTGAGTTTCTGTATATTTTAATTATGGTAGTAGTATATGCTTGCTTTCTGATAGGAAAGTATTTATTTATTCTTCCTGAATGCTGGAGTATGTATGAACAGTTATCTGTTTTTGTGGACAGGGTGCCATCTTGTGGGAAATTCACACACTACAAAAAGTGACTTACTGCCAAATTAATGCTGACTTTGCCAGAGGTCCCTTTTAAAAAATTGTGCTTTCAGGGGCACAATTATCCTCCAAACTGTTTTTTATTATCCTCCCATGCAAATCACTTTGAACGTTAATGGAGTTTGTTCACTAACTGGACCAGGTGGAAACTCTCGCTGTGTTCAAAAACCTCAGCATACAAATTAATTCCTTTGACTAAACACCTGAATTAAATTGCCAGAACATCCATGATTTTGCAAAGGGCAAATGTGATCTGGCTTTTGGCCTCATTAGACAAACTAGTCACTCTGATGCTACTATAATTTGCCTTGATATATAATTTCCCTAACTGAAGAATCTAATCATTTCTTTTAACATCTCCACTTCCACTGCCTCATTATAAAACCTCTATCTCTCACTACGTGGTCAAAATTTCAGATAGCTGGGGAGGAATCTTTCCTATCTATAATATTCCAATTGGTATGATACAGTTGGGAAGAAATTTCAGTCTCAAAAATGTTACAAAGATCAAATAAGTTCTGAACTGAAAATTCATCAGGAATAGCAGAAGTAAATTAAGCACTGTTTAGTGAGGAATCAAAGATATTTTTTCCATTGCTGGATAAATTAAATAAATAGAGTAGTAGGGCATGGATCTTGTCATTAATGTGACAGGCAGTGCTGCCATGACCCTAGACTTCTGAAATATAGATGCAACAGTGTTGAACAAAAACAGGGTTGAACAAAAGGGTTGAGCAAAATTGCCCTTTCTGACCATTTAATTGGGGGGGGGGTTTGCTCTGATTTACCAAGGAATATATTGAGGATATGAAATGTCAGACCTTGGAAAAGGTGACTGACCTTCAATTATAAAAGAAATGAGTTGTCTTGATTCACTGTATTCAGATTTCAGACCTAGCTATACCTGTACAATAGAATCTGCACTAGTAACTCATCAATAAGCTCCACTATGACTGGAACAGGAAAATGCAGCTTTTTTAGTCCTGTTAGATTACCTAGAGAAGCTTTTGAGTCATGAGATTCCTATGGAGCACCCCCCCCCCAGGTCTTGGGACTTGCAGGCATTGTAAAACATTGGTTCTATTCCTCCTCTGAAGGAAGTTCCAGTCAATAAAAGATGGCAGATAAGTGGTTGGGCCCTTTGCCACTCCTCTCGGATGTTATTTAACAACTATATGAAGCCACTGGAGAAGACTGTTCATGATTTGCAGCGAAGTATCATCAATATTCAGATGAAATCCAGTTAGATAGAATCACTCTGTACCAGGCAGGAGATGTAGGAGGTGTCTTGATATAGCCTTAATCCAGAGGGTATAAAAGATTGAATGGGAACAAAGCCCAAGGAAATTATTGTTGATTTAGAAACCATCTACTTTGTCTTGGGACTCCTGCTTTGATTCTTGATGGGGCTCGCACTTGAAATTCTGCAGTATGATGGCACAGTGGCTAAGTGCAGTATTGCAGGCTAACTCTGCCCATAACCAGGAGTTCAATCCTGATGGGGCTTAAGGTTGACTCAACTTTCTATCCTTCTGAGATGGGTGTTGAGGGCAATAGGCAAATAATGCTGACATTGTAAACTCTCCAGAGAGTGCTGTAAAGCACTATGGGGAGATATAAAAGTCTAAATGCTATTGCTATGGAGTCTCATGGTGGACTCGGGGCTCCTACTCCACTGGCAAATGAAAACAGTGGCCAGAGGAGCTTTTGCCCAGCTTCAAGCAGTCCACAAGCCCTTCTTAGAGTTGGGATCCTGGCAACGATTCACATCCTATCAGGCCTGTGAGATAAGTCAGGTCAGGAAACTGACCCCACAAATCTGACTGAAAGCATATTTTATTGAGAAAGGCAAAAGTGACACACAACTTTGAACACTTGACTGAGTTCTCCCCTCTTTCCCTCTTACATTATAGAGAATTAGGGAGGAGTCTTCCCGAACTCCTTTCTCACATTTTAGCTGTTGCCTGGCTTAACAAATGCTTTTGTTTATGTAACCATCTGCTTAGCTTCCCCAACATCATCTCTGTGGCTCTCTACATGTCCTCATTATTTTGACATTGATTGTAAGAAGCTCTATATGAGGCTGCCCTTAAAGACCATCTAAAACTGCAGTTGCTACAAAACACAGCAACCCATATGCTGGCAAGCGAGAGTCATTTCAGCTTTGTTAGAGCCACATTGTGAATGGTTGCCAATAGGTTTTTGTATGCAATCCAACATCCGATAACGGATATGGCACAACAACAAGAAGAAGAATAGCCTTTTAATGACTAAGACATAAGTTACCATACCACCTGTCTGATTAGAACATCCTGCCCATAGTCTTTGAGAATTTAGTGCAAAATAAATTTAATAAATTACCATCCCAGGGTAGAGATAGAAAAATGCTTTGGCATCTTTGTCTAAAAGAGGTTAGGAGGCTGGGAATCCATTTACCCTTTTCAAATAGGCTGTTCCCAAAATCTGAATAACTCCTGTGCTGTTGAAGTTTTTTGACGTTCTGAAAGCTGCTAAAACTTTGCACATGGACTATGAATCTACAGATCAGGTTGCTTTTAACCCTGTCTTTTATATATATGTTATTGTACAGTTGATGGTAGTTTACTGCATCATAATTTAATTTTCAGTCTCCTTTTATCATTTGGGACCTGTTTTCATTTACTGTTAAAAGTACTATCGTTAAAGTATTTGAAATGTGTGGACTATGAATCATATGAGTACATATAAGTGTGAGATAACAGTTGGTTGCTGTTTAGAACAAATGAGCGTTGACTAAAACAAAGGCTTTAAACAGAAGTACGTTAAAGTGCATTGCAGTTCAATTGATTTAAATGACACACATTTAAAGCAGGTGCTTACAATCAGTAGAATACAAAGCATGCCTTTGTTTGGGCTTATTGCAACAGCAACTGTCTACATTTGTGATGCTCTGATGCTAGTAAGAGCAAATGACATGGCTGAAGGAAATGCATTTATCTTGTACCCCAGAGCATTGCATAGTGCTTAGAAAAGTATTTCTTAACCCTGACAACTTTAAAATGTGTAGCATGCTGGCTAGAAAATTCTGGAAGTTGAAACCCACATATCTTAAAGTTGCCAAGGTTGAGAAACATTGAATTAGAGCGAGCAAGCCCTCATTCTCACTAGCCATGTAAAGCAAAGCAAGCTATAAGATCAGCTGTATCAATCACGTAGTTGACAAAACACAAATCACTATGCACTCTTGTACAAATCAAATTGGGATGGGCTCTGGGACATGTGGTACAGTGACTTCCTATGTCAGTTCTAAAACTTTTTGAGCTGCTTGTGTGCGAGCACTGAAATATATGGGCTAAAGTCACACATGAGCCGTGATGGCGCAGTAGTTAGAATGCAGTATTGCAGTCCCACAATCTGGAGTTTGATCCTGACTGGCACAGATTGACTCAGCCTTCCATCCTTACAAGGTCGGTAAAATGAGGACCCAGATTCTTGGGAGCAATATGTGACATCCAGAGAGTGCTGTAAAGCACTATGAAGCGGTATGCAAGTCTAGGTGGTATTGGCATTGATATAATTTGATAAGTGCTGGCCTAACTACTATTGTTTATATGAAATCATTAGTTATCACTGAGGCAGTTTTTTGGTATTCAAAAGATCACTGTTTTAAAAAATACAACTTTATTTTGATCTAAGAATCCAGCCAATGGATATGAACCACGTAAAATTACATTTGACCATTGAAATCAACAAGATTTTTTTTTATTCAGCCAATTTATATGGTGACCCAACTCGGAGGATGGAGTAGAAGAGTTAATATAGGAGGTGTTAAATTAAACCCCATTCATTTCAACAGTATTTGACTCAACCCATTATATCAGAGTTAAGACTATTTAAGCATCAGCAATTTCAATGAAACTTGAGCACTAGATATTGTGGCCATTATATAAACTTTATATTTTAATAGTTTAAACATATTTCTCACTTTTATATTTAGCATTGGAATGCTAAGTGGTTTCATACAACTGTTTCTTGAATGATTCCACAGTTTGGACTTCTGTCTGGCCATTTATAATACTCATTGTGATAGTTATCGTTCATGCAGTCATCTAATGATGTCAGTACAGGTGGTCCTCAACTTGCAATCACAATTGAGCCCAAAATTTCTATTGCTAAGTTTTGCCCCATTTTATGACTCTGCTTGCCATAGCTGTTAAGTGAATCACTGCAGTTGTTAAGTTAGTAACATGGTTCTTAAATGAATCTGGCTTCCCTATTGATTTTGCTTGTCAGAAGATTACAAAAGGGGATCACCTGACCCCCGGACACGGCAACCGTCATAAATGTGAGTCTGTTGCCAACCATCTGAATTTTGATCACCTGACTGTGAGGATGCTGCAATGGTTGCGTGACAAACAGTCATAAGTCACTTTTTTCAGTGATGTAACTTCAAATGGTCACTAAATGAACTGTTGTAAATTGAGGACTACCTGAATTATCATACTTAAAGGGCCTGTGTTATACCTGAACGTAGTTACTGGCATCAGGAATATTTTCACATGGATGAGATCTTTTGGTGTCAGGGACCATACAGCTGTATACATCTTCTATGGCTCTTGAAGACATTCATGACTCTGTGATTTCTCTCCAAGGATCCTAGAACTTCAGCAGAATGGACACATGGATCTCCTGAAGCATAAGTGGTGGCCAAAGAATTCCCAGTGTGATCTGCACTCCTCTATGGACCCCAAACATAAAGGGGGAGCCTTGGACATAAAAAGCTTTGCAGGTGTTTTTTGCATACTGGCAGCTGGGATTGTTCTCTCCTGCTTAATTGCCATGTTGGAAACATGGTGGAATAAAAGAAAAGGCTCACAGGTTCCTTCAAAAGAGGTATGAGACCCTTCCATTTCATCATAGCACTAGAGGTGAGAAGGAAAATGCATCTTCTGATATGTTTTAATGGCATTTTAATCACCATTTGTGAACCATTTATCTCTGGGGGGGGGGAAACATCAAGAAAGAAATAATACAATGTTGTACTTATGAATACTTATTCTAATTAATTTCCGTGGGACTTACTAGCACATATCTTGTTCACAACCATTTAGTGAATAATAATTGGCTTTCATATTATTTATAAAGTATTAGCAATTAAGTGTTTTATTATTAATCTGGATAAGATCTGTCTTCTACCAGCGTACGATGCAGCCTGATCCCACATTCAAAAGAAAATTCTGCTAATTCCACAGGGCTTACATCTAGGACTGCATCCTTAATTGGCCTAACTGAATTTTATCTTTAGTTGATTAAAGCAGGATCAAATGTTAATCAGTTTTGACTTCTGGTAAGGTTTTACTTCCCTGTTTCATAAGATGTGAACAAGAAAAGATAGCCTACAACAGATGGTTTATTAGACTCTACACTGTTATATACATTTCCTTACAATCAGCTACATTTTGAGGAGCAAATTCAGATTTACTAAGAGCCCTGTAAGTCTGTACAGCCTGCTAAGAGAAGGCTAAATTAGTGATGCAATATGTGTGGACTCTTTCAAAGACTCCCTACATATTTCACTGTAAAAACTGAAAGGTTGTTGCAAATATATAGCATGCTTAGTAGCAGGAGTTCCTCCTTCAGGCCTTAGAATTAAATGTACAGTAGACTTCTGAGCCACATGCACGCTCAGAAACGCAGGAGGATGCTTCCGTGAGCATCCCTTTTCTCTATTCGGGTTGAGCATACAAGTCCTTGCCTAAAAGTAAGCTTTCCTTGGGTTTGCAAAGTTCCAACCACCAATTTCTTTCAAGAGAATGGGATGCCTTCATAAAATTCATCCCCCTCAAATATAAGTGTCAAATATAAATTATGGCTTAATTTTCACAGCACTGAATTGTTTATTTTTAAATTTCTTTTCCGGGCTACGCATGGCCGGGATATCTCTGGCTTTTGTTTAAATCATTCTTATTTAGGCAGGCTTGCAATTCGTCAGAGCAAATGTGAGTCTGCACTTCTAAATCAGAGTACTGACAAAAGAAGAACGTGGACTGTAGACAGCCAAGGGATCAATTTATGAGATTACTTCTTAGAAGAAACTTATACAAACGTTGTCCTTGTGATTTACAGCCTTAAGAAATAGATGGGATGAGGGGAGGAGGGAACCATTTAACTATTGCAAATATTGGCAATTTAAAATGTGGGTGAAACCTACATGAAGTAGAATCTTGGAACCTCCTATCATAATTTGTCAGGCTTGCAACCAAGTCTTTATTTAATTTTTTAAAAAATTAAAAGTTCTGAATGGACGTATATATTGAATCCCCTCTATCCAAAATAAAAAAGTTTGTCAATTCAGCAAAGATTATGAACTAGCATTCATTTTAACTATCATGAAATCCACTGGTTCTTCCTAAGTCCCCAGGTGGAGTTTATATTGCATCAATTTATTCCAGGCCCATTGGACTTCAGAATGCAGCCTTTTCGTTCTAAGAAAACAAATAAATGCCTTACGGTTGTAACAATAGCTGTGAAGTGGTGAATCAAAGTAACCCATGCAGTCATGTCTGCTTGTGTCTGCAGACAGCCTTATAACAATAGCTCTGACAGAACTGTGAGCTGTCCCCATTAATCTCAAAGGCATGTAAACTCTGAAGCCTGGTGATAATTTAAATGTTCTCATGATTGAATATTTCACTGTTGACCAAGGCATATTTGAAAAAAAGAGGAGCAATCATTTTGTGGAACTATGCACAAATCATCCTATGAGTGGTGTCTCATTTTGATGTCTTAAGTCAGGGGTCCTCAACCTTGGCAATTTTAAGACTTGTGGACTTCAACTCCCAGCTGGCTGGCTGAGGAATTCTGGGAGTTGAAGTCCACAAGTCTTAAAGTTGCCAAGGTTGAGGACCCCTGTCTTAAGTGGGTAGAGTATGGGTCACGGGATGGCATTTGGACAATTATCACTCCATTCATTTTCTTATAAACAATGGATATTATGTTCAGCAGTAGAATTCATCTTAAAAGACCAAAGACTTAAAAACCATGGAGGATGGATTTAAGATAAAATAAATGTTAGTGCAAAGATAAAATTAAGAGTTGGTCTAACTGAATCCAATGGTAGTGCTTTAATCACCAAAACCAGTTCACAGGTTACATTTAACATGAGTATCGTAATAGTAATCATACCTATGAAGTTCATATTATCTCTGAATGTCCCAAAGGTGCTTTTTCAAGAGGCAACTTGACTTTCTTGTTTTTCTTTGAAGACGTTTCACTTCTCATCCAAGAAGCTTCTTCAGCTCTGACTGGGTCATGGGGAATGAAAACATTTATATTCCTTGCAGACAGCTGGTCATTTGCATTCTTTTAGAGAGTTGTTGAGGCCACTTGGAGGTTTATCTGTGTTCTCAGGGTCAGGATAAACCTCCAAGTGGCCTCAACGACTCTCTAAAGGAAGGCAAATGACCATCTGTCTGCAAGGAAGATAAATCTTTCCATTCTCCACCATCCAGTCAGAGCTGAAGAAGCTTCTTGGATGAGAGGCGAAATGTCTTCAAAGAAAAGCAAGAAAGTCCAGTTGCCTCTTGAAAAAGCACCTTTGGGATAACCATGACCTGGATGACTGAGAATCTCCATAGACAATTATCTCTGAATGCATTCGGGTCACTGTGGATGAATTGCTTGCCTTGCTACTGGTAGATATTCAGAAACCTAGTCAGTAAATATATAATAGCAAAATGTGTGCTTAATTTCTTGGGCCAGACGAGCAAATCTTAAACCTCAAATGATCTTTAAATAGAGGTAATCCTCCACTTATGACCAATTGCTTAACAACTGTTTGAGGTTACAAGGATCCCATCCTCCAAAGCTACTTACAATCTGTTTTTGAGGTTATGATGTTAGCACTCCCCACAGTCATGGTGATTGCATTTTGGGCACTTGGCAATTAGCTCATCTTTATGGACTGTTTGCAGTATCCTGTGATATACGACATTTTTTGCCAGTTTCCAGTGTTTACTTCAAGTTTTTGGCAAAATTTAGGGAAAATTGATTTGCTTAATGATCGTGGCATTCACCACAAAAAAATGGTGAAAAATAGGGTCTGGTCATATGATGCCTTGACTTATGACTGCAACAACTTACATCTTACAATTCCAGGCTCAGTTATGATTGTAAATCAAGGACTGTCTTAAACAATATGAATATTGTACCTATATCTCTATCAATATCTCTTAAGTGGCTTCTATGTAGTGAAAAAAGTGATGTAACACAAATATACATTTATGCGGTATAAGATAGCAATTAATCAAATAAAGTTTAATTAATCCATATTAATTCCTGCAGAATTCTCTAGTTTCCTTAAAGCTGTTTGAGGTTAAAAAAAAATGGAAAGGGCAATGCAACCAGTAAAAATAATAGTCGTGAGAAAGAAAAGGTGTTTTATGTATGTGGGAGTGTGTATGTGAGAGTGTGTATACACACAAATACACACATACACATGCATGTAATTTATCTATTTTTTGTTTTCCGTTAGTTGGCACACTGTTACTTGATAAATTATATACTCATTTATACTGAATTTTGACAAGGAGTCTTTGAGAACAAAAAGGAGTAAGCAAGCTATGTAGGGAGGTTGGTGTATTTAAAAACTAAGGCAGTATTAAGACATTTGATCAAATAGATGGCAGAAATGGCTATAGTTTTTACCAAGACAGAACACCCAATATTAGATCTTTTTTCTCCAATATATATAATAATATTATGTATATGTAAGTTGTAAGTAAGTTGGGTGTAAATAAATAAATAGAATGTTACAACAATTCTATATTTAGCATTACATATATAAATATTGCTTGAAAAAAGTAACATTTCATAGTTAAACAGGAATGAAACTTAATTTCAAAATGTATTATTCGTATAATGAAAATGCTACTTAGGGCTAAAAATGTGCTTTCATTCACCAAGAGAGCTTTTAGTTTTCATCTAGCATCCTTATAAACCCAATTTTTTTTCAAATGCACATATCTGAATCACTTTCAAAATAAAGCACCCAAAATTAGCAGTCAAAGAATTGACAGATTTATTCAAATCAATACATGAAATTTAGGTGTAGTCTTTAAAACCCACAAATTCCCCGTTAGAAATTTTCCTTAGCCTTTCATTATCTTCCTATCAACAACACAATTTTGTCCCTAAAGCTTCTGTGACATTTCCTCTTGCCTTGTTTCCTTTTATCTTTGTCTCCATTTTCCTCTATTTCTTTCTTGTATTGCTTTCCTTGCCTGAAACCAAGCA